AGAACGCAGGCAAATTGGGGCCACACAACAGGTTCGGCTTCAGGACCTGAAGAGAGTCGCATGTTTGGGCCGTCTGACCGTACAGCCCGAGTTAATACAGAGAATAAGGGAAGCCCAATTAGTCGACCCCGCCCTAGTAGCCCGCAAGAATGATGCAGAACAGGGAATGAGTTCAGAATTCCGAATCTCTGCCGATGGGTTACTCCGGTTCCAGGACAGGGTCTGTGTCCCAGACGACAGTTAGTTAAAGAGAGACATCATGACAGAATCCCACAGCTCGAAGTTTGTCATGCATCCCGGAAGCACCAAAATGTACCAAAGCATGCGACCCCAATTTTGGTGGAATGAGATGAAGAGGGACATAGCTGACTTTGTATCTAATTGCTTGGTATGTCAGCAGGTAAAGGCAGAGCATCAACGCCCAGGCGGGTTACTTCAGCCCTTACCGATCCCGGAGTGAAAGTGGAAAGATATCGCCATGGACTTCGTAACGGAATTACCCAAGGCACGTTCAGAACATAACGCCATATGGGTAATTATTGACTGGCATACCAAGTCTTCCCACTTCTTAGCCATCAGGATAACCGATCCCTTGGACAAGTTGGCAAGAATGTATATCAAGAAAATAGTCAGATTGCATAGAGTTCCAGTGACAGTGGTATCCGACAGGGACCCCAGGTTCACTTCTCGGGTTTGGAGTAGCTTTCAGCAGGCCATGGGAACAAAGCTGTCTCTCAGTACTGCTTTCCATCCTCAGACTGATGGACAATCAGAAAGAATAATCCGTACACTTGAGGATATGCTCCGAGCTTGTATCCTTGACTCTGGGGGCCATTGGGACGACCATCTACTCCTGATAGAATTTACCTACAACAACAGCTACCACGCGAGCATTGGTATGGCTCCGTATGAGGCGTATATGGGCGCCCATGCAAATCGTCAATTTGTTGGGAAGAAGTGGGCGATAGAAAATTGTTCAGCCCCGAGTTGATGGAGGAGACCACGTCTAAAATAGTTAAAATCAGAAAGAACATTCAGACGGCTCAGAGCAGGCAGAAGAGTTATGCAGACACCCGGAGGAGAGATTTAGCGTTTAAGCAAGGCGACCGGGTGTTCCTTAAGGTCACTCCTTTCAAGAGAATTAGTAGGTTCGGCAGAAGGGAAAAACTGAACCCCCGATTTATTGAACCATTTGAAGTCTTAGACAGGATTGGTACTGCCGTCTACAGACTAGCACTGCCTCCAGAGCTCTCTAAGGTCCACAATGTGTTCCATGTATCCATGCTACGTAAGTACAACCCGGACCCCTCTCATGTCTTGGCTCATGAACCGCTTCCACTCCAAGAGGACTTATCTTATGAGGAAGTACCAGTCGGTATCACGGACCGAAAGAGCAGGATACTCCGCAACCGAGAAATATCATTTGTAAAGGTAGTGTGGCAGAACCACTCGCCAAGGGAGGCTACCTGGGAGCTAGAATCAGACTTTAGAGCCTAGTATCTCCATTTGTTCGATCAAGAGTAAGAGGCAAATTTGGGGGACCAAATTTCTTAAGGGGGGAAGAGTTGTAACACCCAAACCTTTTATTATTATTACTATTTTTTTTATTGGAATTATTTTGGTTTTATTTCATTTTAATAATTAATTTATTTTATAATAATTATATGTTTTAATTTAATTTAATTTAATAAAAATAAAAAAATAATAATAATGATAAAATGGGGTAAAATTATTTTTGAGAATTAATTGAAAATGATTTTAGAAAAAATGGGTGAAAATTTAGATTCTCGGGGTGTTTTTGAAAAGAAAATCGAAAAACAGGGGGTCAAAACACAATTTAAAAAAATAGCACCACGTCAACAGCCACGTCAGCATACCGGTCAACAGCCCCCGGCCAACCAGGACACGCCGCGTGACAGGGATGCTGACGCGGGAAGCCACACGGGACGGAGCCACGTGGGCGATCCGCGTGCGCGCGATCAGACGGCCTAAATCCGTTTCAGTGGGCAAGGACGGCCCAGATCTCACGCGTGTGGACGGTGCAGATTGAATCACGTACACCCAGATCGCATCCCGATGGACAGCCTAGATTTATTCCTAATTTAATCGCGATCGGACGGTCCAGATTAAATCATGATGGATGGCTCATATTAAAAGGAGAAGGTTATAAATAACCTCACTCACACCCAACCCCAAACCCTAGCCGCCAGAGCCCTCGCCGGAGAAGACGACCCAGCCACCGGAGGAACCGGCCACCGCCACCCGCTGCCGCACCGGAGCACTTTTCGGCTACCAAACGAGGTAAAATTTCTTCCCTTGGCTCGATTTTCGATGTTGAATCCACCTGTGGCCAAATCGAAGCCAAACCACCGGCCAATTGGTCGGAAAACACCGCCGAAACCCAACAGCGCCGCCGCAGATTTTTTTAGTTTTTGCCTCCGATGAGGCCCTTCCCAGTTCCCATTCGATGTAATTTTTATACCACTGTAACCACCGTCCTTTTCTCTACAGGTTGACCGGAGCAAAACACCGAATCGCAACTCGCACCAGAGGAGCCGCTGCACCTGAGAGCTCCGCCGCCGATAAGTCTCAGTTTTCTGGATTTTTTTGGCCCACCGAGGGCCCTAGGGGTGTTTTATCACATGAACCAATGCAAGTTTGGTCAAATTTAGCCAGAAACGGCTAACCCGAGGCAGATCGCCACCGTGGGCGACGTGCCGTCGTCGGAGCACGACGGAACCGCCGTGCCGGAATTCCAAAATTGGCCAAAAAGGACCTGGGTCTGATTTGGGGTTTTTTGGGGACATGTGTAGGTACCGGAAGTGTGTTTCAGTTTCCGAAGAAAAAATTCAGAGAATTTAGGGACTGCCCGTAGGCGCAGTGAGAACCCGATTTCAGACTCCGAAATAAGTTAGGATCTCTCACCCCATTTCCTATTACGGCATTAAAGCTTAATAAATGATAAAATGGTATGTTATAAATTAATAGATATGTATAATTAATTAAGGTTGCTAATGGAGCCCAAATCTGATGTATTTTTCGGTAGGTGTTGTTTAATTTATTTTACAGTTTTGAATGCAGTATGGTGCCTGATGTGTTTATTCTATGGTTTCGTATGCATGAATCATGGTTTTATTTATTATGGTTTGAATTATTGTGAACCCGATATTGTGTTGCCTTGTTTGGTGTCCATTACTGGTTTACATGTTTATGTTTTATTGGATAATTGAGATTAAGAAAAATAGAAAAAGGTATGTGAATTGATAAATGGATAATGTCGACAGCCTAACTAGATATCCTAAGAGATGGTGACAGACCGGGTCCAAAGAGAACTCTACCAGGAACGTGGTCTCTCATATCGGACGGAGTATGGAGACTTTATATGTTTTGGCACTTATACCAGACGGGGTATGGGGGCAGCCCGTTTCACCCTCATACCGGACGGGGTATGGGGACGGCCCTGATATTAAGTTATTAATGTGAATGGTTCACGTGTAGCGGTGATCCCCTATGATATGTGTTATGTTACAGAATGTGCATGATCTTATGAGGTTTATGATGTTATTGTTTCTCATAAGTTGTTTTCATAAATCTCACCGAGGTAAGTGGATAATAAAGGTTTTTATTATTGATAAATGAGTTTGTTATAAATTATACTCCATTGGTCGTTTTTGTTTTCTACCAACCTTTACTTCTATGACAGTGAGATAGTGTGATGTCTTTACTGGGTTAGTGTACCTCATTCCTTACTTAACCATTTCAGATCAAGAAGACTTGGTTCCCAAGTCCATCCCGCAGGAAGACGGCGAGTAGATGTCTAAAGATTTCATAATTTTATTTATAACATTCATCTCTAATATTTACTTTATTTAGTTTATTCTTTCATACGTTTAGTACGTTTGGATTATTGTGTAAAAAATATTAATCAAAATTTTTATTCCGCTTCCGCACTTAGAATTTTTCTTATATATACTTTCCCTTTAAAATTCTGGAGCCGTTACATTATATGCATCCTTTTTTTTTTTCAAGTTGTATTGAGCCTAGAATCAAATTGATTAAATTATAGTTGATATTTTTTATTTTCATCGCTGAATGCAAATAAATTTAGCTTACTTTAAAAATATATGGAGCTAATTCTTGTTATCATGCTTACCCGACCCAATGTGGGAGCTTATAATGACCAAATTCAAGGCAAAAGCTTCACATTATGAACACAATTTTTTGTCAAAAGTGGTATGTTATACTCTTACAATGTGTCTAGCTCAAAATCATTTCTTTCCTATTTAATAATTGATTTTAGTTACTCTATACAAAGCAGTTAGTAATAATTTGTATATTTGATGTCTAATTAAATGAACGTCAACCATATCATCAATTTTACGACTACGAATTTGTATCTTCACGTGAAGTAAATGCAACAATACACTACTGCAATTCGACATGGAATTAACTTGGTATTAAAAAATTATTTTTTATCAAATTAGTATTCTACTTATACTGCATTTACATTCGTATTGCATGAAATTAGAATAACAAACCCAACATTATAGAATGTGTTCTATCCAATGACTCCATATGTAACATGTCATGACTTGCAATCTCTGGTTGTTTTGTAAAGATGGAAGCATGTCTATATCACTTGTTATGAATGATTTCGAGGCTCAGGGGATCTTTCATTTCAATGACTTCAAAGGATCAAACTCTTGTGTCGATTTCGATTCATAACTTAATTGTTTGATATATTAAATTAACATAATTTACACATTTGACAAATAATTAAATTATCTTCACTTGTACCTTAAATTCCACAACCCTAAATTTTGTATTCCTCCATATTAGAAAAATGAAATACACAGATATAAATTGAGTTAAGATTAGACTTAAATGCTTTTTCCATTAAAATTCATATCCATGTGTGTTAGACTTTTTTTCAATGTCATAAAATTGAAATTTAAATCAACCTCAACCATAATAAATTAAACTGGACTACATGGTCATCATCATTGTAGGGTCACTTATAAATCTTTTTTCTGGCCCCTAGTTACTGTCCTCATGCTGAAGAGAAAGATTTATGAAATATGAATCAGAATAGTTCTCTCTCAATCTGTTTGCATATTCTAACATTAACAATTAAACAACTAAATTACGAAAGGCCATTGCCTTCGTGATTCTTCATTCAAGCCATAATACATGCCCGATGTTGCAAAAACTCGGCCTCTATGAACAAAATCCTCTTGTGAGAATTGATAGGAAGTTACGCTTTCTCTCACCAAGGCTACCTGCCGACTCAATATACTGATGCAGCAATCTAGAGGGACCGTGCATCCTTGGCAGACAGGTTATGATTACTCTAGCAAACAAATTAGTACATGTTGAGATATATTCTTTTGCAGCAAAATTTGTCAGTCCCATCTCAAGAGATTCACCATTAAGAGGGAAAACATCTAAGACTTGGGAACAGTAACACTCAGAATCTTCACATCTTGGTAAGGTTTGTCTGCCTTGTCTGTCTTCACTTTTTCTATTGCCTGTCCACAGGTGCATCATTAAAATTTACTAGTAAGGACACAAAGTAAATGTAGGAACACCGTATAACAATGACATGAGAAGAACATAAGTCGAATCTCTCGCCTGTCTGATAGAAGGGCCTATAAAAGAGGGACAGAAAGGTACAAGCTCAGAAGTATACCTGTACTACGTCCATTCCTTTCACAACTCTACCAAAAACTGTATGCTTATTGTCCAGCCATGGTGTAGCCACTGTGGTGATAAAGAACTGGGAGCCATTTGTATTTGGCCCAGCATTTGCCATTGACACAGTGAAAGGCCTGTCATGTCGTAAGCTGCAGACATTATAATGTTTAACCCAAAGTCAGCTGTACTTGGTCAAATAAGATAACTAGTTGCAGTAGAAATAACGACAATGAAATCTTAGCTGAAATTAAAATGCATTCTTTAGTTGATACAATTTTGTGGTAATTATGGATAAAACTTACTAGATAAAAATGTACCTAAGTTAAACAATGGTCAGTACGTGATTTATGGTTCATTGTGTTAACAAATCAAAATCACTACCTTTTGTGAAACTCATCCTCAAATTCCCTTCCCCATATCGATTGCCCACCAGTGCCATCTCCCAGAGGATCTCCTGTTTGTACCATGAACCCTTTGATAACTCGGTGAAAAATGAGATTATCATAATAGCCATTCCGACAGTGGGTTGTAAAGTTCTCCACAGTTTTGGGACATTCTTCTGGGTAAAGTCTCATGTGGATGTCACCCATTGTTGTATGCAGAATCTAGTAAGAAAACCATTACAAAATATGGCGAGAACGAGTTATCAGACATACTAAAGGAATCATTTAATATAAGCAATTTAATTGTTTATCAACTGTCCTAAAAGGTGCAGTCAAACATATTGAATTTGTAGTAAATATGGAGGATGAACTCATCAAACTGAATTATAAATCAAAATCCAAAATCACATCATCCATATAAATTATCATTTCAAATGGCAAACAAGGATAGGAAAAGTTATCAGATCCACAAGGAAGTCTACTAGGATACTGAACAATAAACCTTCAGGGTACATACACAGACCAAATTTTAAGAGTAACATTCAAGAGATCCCTAAACTGAACAACAAACAATGGAGAGAACAGACTTACGGAATAAAATAGGTAGGAAAACTAAGTTAATTAACACTAAACCGGACAGGGGAGAGAATAAAAGGGTCTTTAAGAAGAAAAAGTGATAATATTGTTTGTTTTAATAATAAACATGTAGATAATGTCTCAAAAACATGTAGATAATGTCTCAAAAACATGCAGATAAAGAAAAAAGTTACAGGAATCTCCATCCCAATGGGAAAGGCAAAGATTATCGTAATCCCTGATGTCAAAGACATCAACACAGGATAACAAAATGCAAACAATTATATTCTGTAAAGTTGCTTTCTTACATAAATATAATTAGTTTCAAATATAACTTTTCTTTTAGATCAAAACAAAATTATGATTTATAGGGCAACAAGACGATGGTATCCATATAGAAAAGAAGCTATACAACAAAATATCTATTAGACTGTATATACAAAATGAATGATGACAGGTCTGAAACCATAAATCCCTAATCCTATAAAAAGAGGAAGAGAAGCCATCAATATCCTTTCTATTCCTCATGCCAAATGACCCAGAAATTCCAGCCAATCCCAAACCTCTATCAATACTTGACCTTAGCCTTCCCACTATAGAACACCTTTATTTATTTACCATTAAACCTTTCACCTACCTCCTAGATTCTGTTTTTTTTTTCTCTGCCACATCTTGGAACTGCTAGATTATTTGCCTAACAAAAACTCAACCTTGGAAAGGGATAGACTAAAAGAAATTTATAAGAAAGCAACTAGAAAGCTTCTCTGAACCATGCCAAAAGAGATGTATGTACATAATAAAAATGGAAATCATTACAAAGATAAAGAGACACTTGACTCTTCAAATGGAGCTATAACAGATCTTTCAAAATCCTGCGAAAAACCCATTTCCAAATGTATTTTCCTCATTGTCTGTAATCTGGAAATATAAATCTGATAAACAGATCTGGAAGAGAAAAGCTCCGCCAAGAGTGGCTTTTTTTTACATGGGAAGCTACGAAGGAATGCATTTTAACTATTGATATGCTTAAAAGAAGAGGAATCACGTTGATCAACAGATGCTTCCTGTGCCAATCAGATGAGGAAAGTTGCAATCACTTACTGTTGCGGTGTCCGAAGACCTACAGTTTATGGACTTCTGTGTTTGGGCTATTGGGGTTGAATTGGGTTATGGTTGAGAATGTGAATAGTGAATTATGGGCTTCGACGGGTTTGTGTTAAAAAAGTAGGCATTTATTTCTAATTTCACTTACTATTTTTTTGGTTGTGTGGAAGGAAAGGAACGCGAGCGCATTTGAGGACAATGAGACTAATTTTACATATGTTTGAGATAAATGGATACATACTTTTGAATTTATTTTGTTTAGTCATGACATTAATGACTGGAAGGATCTGGGGATGGTCATGAACCATTTAATTGACTTGTAACTAGTTTATGTACTTGGGTGATACCCCATTGGTATCTTTATGAATAATATCTTTTCTCTATTATTTCAAAAAAAAGGACAGAATTTTCAGAAGCCAACAAAGCAAAGGCGAGAACTGGGGGGTGGGGATTTAGGATGTTTGCAGTCAACAAAGAAAGTGGGTTTGCTTCATGATGATGGTAATATTGTTCTATAATGATGATTGGTCAGAGTGAGAGTGATGGTGTGCATGCAGGAAGAGATTATGGAGTTGAAGAGGCAGAAGGCTGAGTCCTCTAATGGTTATGGTTGGAATGACTATATGGCATTGCCATTTACTCAAAATGTAAGCTTCAAATGTTTCAAATTCTTATAGGAGATCGATATACATATATATATATATATGCACTCACACAGACATACACATAGTTTATGTTTGTTTGAACGTTATTATTGATTTTTGGTATAGGTAATCAGTGAAACACTCAGAATGGCAAATATCATTAATGGGGTTTGGACAAAGGCTCTCAAAGATGTTGAGGTTAAAGGTGATCAGTAATATAGTACTGCTTTTTTGACTGATTTCTTCTGGTTGAAGAAAAATAGCTTTTTAAAAAGAATTATGTTATTTAATTAATTAATTTATATATTTTTTGGGTATTTAATACTGCTAGAATGGTGTGTGTTGGCTTGTTTTATATCTATTCACGTGGATAAAGAGAATTACGAGAACCCCTATAAGTTTGATCCTTGGAGATGGGAAGTAAGTCTTACTTTTCATCTTCTACTTATAATTTTTGTTTCTTTCAGCTGCAACAGAATTTTCAGTTTTTGTGCATTAATACTCTGTTTACTCTACCAGAAGGATGGGCAAGTTTTAAAGGTAATAAGAGTAAAGGGTAAGTAGAGAGATAAAACACACCAAATTTTCAGGAAGAGAGGTTGTCACAGCTTTTCCTATATCTGATACAGCCAAAAGTTCATCAGGAGGAGGCTTTTCATTAAACACATCCCTTCCTTTGGTTGCATCTTCGGGTTCTTCTGGTTCTCTCCGACTACATGAAATTATAGTACAAAATTAACAAATTCATTTACCAAGAAACAATGTCAAAAATTTCAAAGGCAAGAGGCATGTCAATCAACGTGTAAACATGTATTACATGAAACAATTTAACTACCACACTTGAGAAACATCCTAGATTAGCAATCCGATGCTGTTATACGCCCATGTTTCAATTTAGAAAAAACAGTAACTTAGGCATCATGATTTCCACTAACCATTTAAAGATCACCAAGGGCAGTCACAAGAACTATACACTTATCAACGATACTATTCAAGCAGTTTCGTACCTGAATAAATAGATCCTATGCTTCTTGAAGGCACAACATAGGAGAGTTGGATCTATTAAAGGCTCTTTGCTTTCGTTAACATTTGCTGCTGCAGAAGGAATTTTTCTGACTTTCTTACTGCTTCGATCACCTTGATACAACGCAATTCTCAAAAACCTGTCGTTGCTCTCTACCTTCCCAAGAATTCGGGCAACTTTGTTGGTGTGTAAATTTACTATCTATAAAGAGTAAGAATGGGACCAGACAAAGAGTAAATAAATCAAGAACATTGAAGGAGAAAGATGGACACAAATTGAGGCATATAGCAAGTATTTTAAAACTTGGGGAAAAGACTTACTTTTATTCCAAGAAGTGTTGCATATATAAGGAAATTAGAACTTTCATCAAAAAGGGCATTAGCTTGTGGAGCAGTCTCTGTCTTTTCAATTTCCTTTTCAACAGCCATTCTTCGTCCAAAATCAATAGCTTCCAACCAATACATGGGAGCATCACTCCTTTGGAGATCTTGAGCCACCTGATATGCATGATAGTCAATCATCTCTCATGATCCAAGAAGGAGGTATGTCATAAATAGGAGGCCGAAAGATATCATCATTACCTCAAGTGATTCATCATAAACTCGTCTTAGTTTACCCGTTCTGAACCAAAATACACGAATCCTGCGATCAGGTGATGTGATAGAAAATTGCTTACCATCTGGGCTAACCTGAAAGGCAACAAATTAGGTTTCACATTTTAACATTTAGGTAGCATTTGATGAAATGAAAGAACTGAACAAGATGGAACTATAGCACAATATAGGATAAGAGGAAAATATAAGGTGACTAGCATTTAAGGGCCTGGTCTGAACACATTTGTATTGGTTTATGTTTAGTAGTTAGTGAATAGTAAAGAATAATATCTATAATTACTAAAAATACCCCCTGTATCATATTCATATTTACTTTCACACTAAATTACCAAGTACCTTCTACAAAAATATAACTTAACATTGGAATTATAAAAAATGACTAGTTTTATTTACATTTCATATAGACTTAAAAAACATAATTGAATAAAAATTAAGGTAACTACCATTAAAATCAGCAGGTAAAACAAGAAAATGTTGGCAAAATGACCAACTTAGACCAAAATTGTTCTCCCCTCTCTCCTCTGTAAGCTCCCTCTCTACTCTCTTGAATCTTGCCAGTTGGCCTTCTCTCTCTTGATATGACACTTAGCATCTTCTGGAGACGCTTTTCTGTTGCTTACATCACTGATTCTTGGGTGCTGAGCTCCTTAGGGTGAGGACTATAAATGTCTCTCTGCTATGTAGAAAGATGTTCGGTTCTTAGGTTCTGTATGTAGTGTCTACATTTGAAGCTTATTTTCTTAGCACATTCAGGTCCTTAGACCTTTCTGGTGTTAACCAGCTAAATTTATGCTGAGGTTGATGGAGTTAGTGTAGTTCTAGATGATGGCATGTTAGAGTAGATATATGATTTGTACGTGGAATAACATTTTTTTAAACATATAATATTCTAACTCATATTTATACTTTTAATAATTATTTGGACAACTGGATAAACTACTGCTTCTCTATCCTTATTACTTGATGGCCTGTAGCTTGAAGCAACTCATTTCACTTGGGATGTTCACACTTATTTTATTGGAAGAAAAACAGATGCACATTGAGATGATAGGATAGTTTTATTTTAATAGATTGTTTTGAATTTTGTCTCATTTCTAGGAAACTAAGTCTGGTTTCTAAGCTTGTAGAGAAATATTTTTTAAAAAAAAATAAAAAGTATAAAAGTATATTAAATCAACACCACCAAGGGAGTGCCACCCATTTACATGATATTTATAAATCTGTTAGTATATCTACTACATTTCCAAAATCCTCCATCCTATATATGCCATGTCTCAAAATCAACGAACCAAAATAATGAAACCATCCATCCTTGATTTTAGAAATCTCTCATTCTATCTCCTCAAATACACTTCTATTCATCTCTTTCCACACTACCCAAGAAATAGTCAACGGAATATTATTTATAATTTTTTTCTTTTTACATATCCCTTCCCACACTCAAATCTCATCCCTCACCAACCCTGCTATAACTCAATTTATCCTTAACAAGCCATAAACAATTGTCTGTAGACTATATATCACTGGGCACCATAGTAGAATATGATTACATCATTCTGCAGCTTCCTTACAAAGATAACAACTATTCACCATAGCTCTCTTCCTTCTCATTAACTTATCAATTGTCAGTATGGATTCTCTACCCACCTCCCAAGCAAAAAACAAAGTTATTCTTAGGGGGCCTTCACCTTCCAAATCTGTTTAGCATGAAACTGGATCTCCCCCATCTCTCCATTTCTAACCAAATGGTTATAGAAATATTTCAAGTGAACACCCCATTCTTCTTCAATTTCCACACAAGTTGATCTCTATCATCATTCAGATGAACATCGGACCATAGATGTAACAATGCTTCATATTCTTCAACCTCCAATCATTGAGGGTCCTGGTCACATTCACTATCCATTCCATTCTACCGTTCACTCCCCCATAAGCCTCCTCCACATAGATATGCTTCAATTGGGCAATGGCAAAAATCTGCTGGAACAGATTCTTGAAACTCACCCTCCCGCTCCAATCATCCTGGCAGAAGAGAACCCTGTTCCCTCTCCCCAACTTCCATTTGATACATTCTTGAACTTTTTGCCTCCCTATACTTACTCCCCTCCATAAACCCATGTCATGGGGTCTAACCACTTTTCTATTATATTCTCCTCTGTTGTTAAGCCCCCACTGAGCTTCAATCGTACTCTTCCACAAGCTATCATCTTTCCTCGTATATCTCCATATCCACTTACAGCCTGTATAGATATATTTTATTCTGCTAGTTTACTGTTGGAATTCTAAGCCCATGGGAAAATATTGTAAGAATGGCAGCTCATGTTCTATGCTAAAGAGAAAGAAGAGAGAAATAAACTAGATTAAAATTGGTATTCACATCAAAATTAAAACTAGGTTAAAATTGGTATTCACGTAAATAATTAAGGGTAAAATGACAATTTCATGTCAATACTAAACAAAGTTTATTTTGTTAATGATCAGATCTAGTTCAGTTAGGTTTTCGTCTAGTTCCAATGCGAAATCATGTTTTTGTAGAATATGCTACACATAACATTCTCGAAACTTGCCATTAGTTCTAATATATTTTGGAATTGAATGTAATATTATATATATGTACATATTAATATAGTAACTTATTATTATTTTATTGTGTAGTATCAATAATAATTTCTAACTTCCTATCAAAAAAATAATAATTTCTATATATTTTAATTAGTTAATTAGTTAAATTTAAGTTATTTATAAAAAATAAAAACATCAAAATCTAATTATCATAAGATTAACACCTGAGACTTGTAAGAGAAAAGGTGAGATCAAAAATAAAATAAGGCTACAAGTTTTGTTTTTATATAAGAGTAATGTATAATAGAAAGTATATGTGTATATATTTTGGAATTGAATGTAATATTATATATACGTATATATTAATATAGTAACTTATTATTATTTTATTGTGTAGTATCAATAATAATTTCTAACTTCCTATCAAAAAAATAATAATTTCTATATATTTTAATTAGTTAATTAGTTAAATTTAAGTTATTTGTAAAAAATAAAAACATCAAAATCTAATTATCATAAGATTAACACCTGAGACTTGTAAGAGAAAAGGTGAGATCAAAAATAAAATAAAGCTACAAGTTTTGTTTTTATATAAGAGTAATGTATAATAGAAAGTATATGTGTAAGGATAATGTTGGAAAGCTAACTTTGAGTACTAATATGGTAGAATAATTTTGCCCCTCCAAAATGCAAGAACAAACTTGTTCCTTGAATATTACTTTTTTGTCTGTTCTAACCAGCATTTATGCAACCAAAGATAGCACTAAACTCTTCTGCTGCCAAATCCTATGCTTTTGTTGGTACCAAACGCTACATTAGTTACACCACTAAACATTACTAGAAAACACATGCCATGTATATGGGTAGCATCAGTAAAGTGCCTTCTTTTTCTTTTCAAACACTTGCGTTATGTTTAGTTGTAGAGAGTTACTTTGAGTTTTCTTTTTTTCCAAAAATTTGTGCATAAGGAGTATAATAGTCGATGCAGAAAATAATAGTGAAATTTAGCATGAGTTGAAAAGAACAAAAAGTGGTTTTTAAACTCGTGCAATGTTTTATCATTTTCCAAATTTTGCTTTTGTTCAACGATTATGCAAATTTTGTCAATATGTAGACTTCAAAAATAAAAGCTCAAAATAGTTTTCCGCAGCTAAACAAGGCCTTAATCTTACCGGATTAAATCAACACGCGACTCAAAATTAAGAAACCTTATAACTTAATTGTTATAAGACACAAATGAGAAGCAACTTATCCAAGAAAGAAAAGAATGCACTGGCAATTAAATAATGCACATGCAATTAAAGTTCACGCTCTCCTGGCAAAAGAAAAAGCAGTGGACATAATGCAAAAGGGGTTAGCATTAGATTTCTTAACTAGTTTAGAAATTATAAGTATATTAAATGTAAGCTACTATGCTATATTAGGAGTCTATATTATTGAGAAGTACTATTATAGTTTTGGTAACTCAGAATTTTTATTCTTAGTAGCATTTTCCTATTTGTATTAGAATTAGCATTCCTGATATTATTAGTATTAGTTTCTTACTTTTAATAGGATTAGTATTCCTAATTCTATTAGTTTACTATTTCTAATTTTAATTCTGTTT